TCAGTAGGAAAGCTGCCCTTGACTTCGATGGAAGCAGACCCATAGCTCGTGTCCCGAGTGAAACGTTACAGAACAGATGTCTCAGTGGCCTCTACCAGGCTTGCTCTTAGTATGCCTCAGCCACAGAAGGGCACAGTTCCTCTGCCAAGGGATAAAGCGGTCAGACACAGTTTTTCTCAACCTAAATCAATGAAGTGACCTTTTGGGAGCCTAAGAAATGAAAAGGGTTTTTTTCTTTTTTACTGGGAAAGAAAATTCAAGACCCATCTTATCCATGCTGCTTTGATGGCTTTCATTGACAACCAGATAAAAGCTGGTCTGAGCCCTGAATGTTCATTACTTTTGTTACTTCTCCAGTTTGTCCGCTTCCTAGTATGTGTACATGGAAGTATGAGGGAGCGGAGTGATGAGGAAAGGGATGACTTCTATTAGGTTCACTGGTGATTTTTTTTGCAGTGGTTTCTTGCTGGTTTGCAGACCACTGCTTGGGAAGCACTCATGTAAAGGATGTTCTCTCAGCTGAGGGCGAAGTAAAGCCAGGACCAGAACGGACACTTGTGATCCAGCACTGTTTGCTCATGGGCTCTAGCCTTCGCCCAGCGACGTTTCCAGCTGTAACCTCCCTAGGCTGCTGCTGTGCTTGGCCGCACACGGAGCCCCCACTCAGCAAAGCAGCGTGACATCTCCTTAAGTGTGTCTTCATTTCGTAAAATATTTAAACACATGCTTTGCTTGCTTGAATATGCAGTACTGCCTGAAAACTGCTCATGTGCATAATGTTTGCCGGATTGCGGCCTTGCTTTATAACTAATTTAAAAACTAAATGAAATGTTTCCTCTCCAGAAGGGAAATTCTGCTGCAGAAATGTGCATCAAGCAGTTGAGGCATTAAAGGTTTTTAATATCCAAACTCCATTAAATGAATTGTTTTATCATTTGCAGAGGATTAATTACTTTCTAAGAGGCCTTTTGTCAAATAAGCATTTTGCAAACTAAGCTAATCAGCTCTGTTCCTGTTTATAATTCTCCCACTACAAATATTTATACGTTATAATTTGTCCTTCTGCTTTCCTGCCTGTCTCAGCACAAGCACATTAAAATTTTTCTGACATGCCATTCCTTTCAGAAAAGCCCTATAGCATAGGGTAGAAAATGATAAAGTCTCTACAGTTTTTCCTTTGTAGGCCATTAGACAGAGCTGAACAGAGCCAGTGGGAGAGACAGAGGGCTGTGCTAACTGGTGCCAGGCATGCCACTGTATCCCTCCTTGCTCACGGGCTTTTTTTGCCTCCCCCACCTCACCCTGGTGCTGCCAGGAGTGATGCCAGAAACTGCACCCATTGCACTGCTCTTGTGGTGCAGAGAGGCTGGAGTTGGAACGGGATACTTGGCTGCTCGTGGAAGATAAGACCACCACACTGGGGTTCTCCATCACGCTCCTATTTCCGAAGTGGCGTGGTGGCCCCGTGCCCAGGCGCTGCAGGACAGGCTGCTGTCCGGCATGTGTGCTCACCTACCCACTGACATGGGGCACGAGCCCCGTGGGCTGCACCGGCGCCCACGTTTGCTGGCGCTTAGCATCTGTGGCTGTCGGCAGCCAGGTGAGGTGGCTCCGAGCCCGCTGGCGTGCGTCCCTGCACAGGGCGGTAGGAGCTGGATGGCAGGGCGGAGCAGGGCAGGGCATCCCCGGGCAGGTCTGCTCCATCTTCGCTGCCCACCTTGCTGCTTTGGCGTCAGGGCGGATGGGGCAGCAGGGAGAAGAAGGGTCCTTGGACCCCCGTGGCGTCCCCAGCTCTGCTCCCAGCAGATGGAGCTGGGCTGAAGAGAGGTCCTGCAGATCAAGGTGATCAGAGCTCAGGCCGCGGCACTTGGCATCCCCTGCTTGCAAGGGGTGTGCGGGTAGCCCGACAGAGACCTGTCTGTTATCAAGCAGCACAAGACAATTAAGCTTCACTCATCACTGAAAGCGGTGCTGGTTGGATTTGCCTGGGGAGCCAGGAGGAGCTTTTCAGATGAGAACAGGAATGGTGCTTGTCCCACCTGACTGACCTGTGCCTTAACTGTGCTTGTTGTTTTCAGGCGTTCACGATTCAGGGGCAGTACGCCATCCCTCATCCAGACGTGAGTCCAGCGCACGTAAATTACTCCCTTCTTCTTCTTCTCCCTCTTATTTGTTCTGGGCAACATTTGCTTTCTACAGTTGGCAATAAAGACACCGCCTAAGGACACCTTTCCTGAACAGCACACTGTATAGCCAAGTGTTAGCTCAGCTGCATCTCTTACCTTGTGTAATAATGGCTAGAAAGTACAATGGCCCAGGAACAAATGACAGTTATCTTGGTCTTTTTTTGCATGTGATATACTTGAGTTCTTTTAATACGTGATTCTACAGTAATTAGTTAATATTAACAATAGCCATTACATGTAATAACAGTAGAGATGTCATTTATAACCAGTTTGGTTTTTTTTTTCTCTACAGTAGATTAGAATGAATGATTAAACCTTTTTTTTCAATATAATTTTAATTAATCCAGTTTTAGAACATATAGAATGGTTTCTCTGCTCTGAAATAATTCCATTTGATTGGTTAGTTCTAATTTCCCATCCTGCCCTGCAGTTGACCAAGCTTCACCAGTTGGCTATGCAGCATCCCCCCTTTACTCCCCTTGGGCAGACCACCCCTGGTTTCCCTGGTACGTACCCGTGACCCCCTGGGGATGTCCTTCTTCTTAACAGCTTTGTTTCCTGTGGTCATTACATCATTTTAATGATAAATGTGGTCAATGACCAGCAATCCTTCTGTTTTTACATATTAATCTCTTCTTCCCTCCCGCACCTCTGTTACAGTTCCTTTCATCATTACTAAAACATGCTTTGTTTGTTACATTTATTTAATCAAACCCGCTTCGTTTAGCCACTGGCTAAAAGCCCTGAGTTTCTTTTGTTCAGTCCTTGTGAAGTTATTGTGGACCATACAGTATGTACCAGTTGGTCCCGAGTGAAGTGCTTGGGCGTGCATCTTGTCAAATTTCCAGTCTGGTAACATGGTTCTGAAAGAGGCAAACAGAGGAAATGTATCATGTGCCATGTAATCGTGGCACAGAAATACTGATTAAAGAAATTACAGGATGCTGAAACTTGAATTCCTTGTAGAGCCAAATGTCTTAAGAGCATCTGTAATCATCACTGCCGGGACAAGTGCCTCTCTTCCTACTAGATATGCAGATATAGCTACATAATGCAATGCAAATTTAGTTGAATTAAGGACTGCAAATTTGGTCCATACTTACTAAAGCTGAAGCTGAGTTCTTGATTCAGGAATGAGAAGTTTGTTAACCCTGCAATAAATAATTTTTACTGTACTTCACTACGTACATGCTTGGCATCTAAAAACTTCATGAAACAGAAGTACATCTGTACTGGTACATGCTTTGTATGGCAAATAACATTTTATCACATGCATCAAATTCTGTTAGCAGCTTGATTGTCTTATATTCAATGTAAAATAAGCATATGCAACTCTTACTTGAATGTAAACATAAGTAACATGTAGGTGAATCACTTTTTTGTAAGAACATTTCCATATTTTCTAGTTGGAAATGAGTATTTTTGGCATGTCTTTACAGACAATAACAGTAATAAACATCAAAAAATAAGAGAAAAGGAGAGAGACATGACATCTGAAATATACTTTTCTTTCTTCATGATGTATCTGATAAAATATCTACAAGTAATACTAAATTGCCTTTCCTAGCTTTATATTTTCCTTATTCTTGTCATTAACATGCTGCTCCTTAATATTTTCCTGGTTATATTTGTGAGATGTACGTTTCTGTAATGTTACTGTGTGTTAGAGCAGTAATTCCGTTTTTCCTAACCACTTTCCTTTCGTCCACCCAATCTACAAACAAATGTATGCAGCTTAGAGTATTTTGCACATTTCCCTTCAAAAATTACCCTTCCCAACATCTCTTCAGCAACTAATCCCACATATAATTTCCAAATACATCTAGGTTTATTTCCTCATCCTTAGTTTCATTTATTAATTTTTCTTTTTCGTATCTATGTGTTTTGTTCTACCAATTATTCGTTTGACTTCCATTTTCATTTTGCATATTCTAGAACTCCTAGTAGACAGGCCAAATTTCAGCCAGCCATTAATTTCTCCATTGATGCCTTTAGAACAAACTTCAGAGACTATTTTTAGGGGAAACCCTTCGTTTTCTAGAAGCTTTTTATGACCCTGTGGAATCTCATGTGACATTTGTTGCTTTGGTGGGTTAAAGGTTGACTAAAATAAGACTCATTTAAAATTAGTCCAGCCCTCTGAGTTTTGCATCTCTTGCTTTCTTTTCTGTTTCACTAGCAGTTCTCTATTTTTCTTTGCTCCTCTCTTTTTTTCTCTTTCTTTCTGTATGTTTAAAGTATCATTTGTTGTGTCTTGCCCTGCTTGCAACCAGCGTAACATTTTCCCTCTGTCCCCTGCATAGGACTGGATGCCACTACTCCAACCAGTTCCCATGAACTCACTATTCCCAATGATGTAAGTGGACCAATAGTCACTATCACTTTCTCCTCTCCCTCCTCTGCCACCGGAGGGGAAACCTCTCATCTTTGGTTGATTTATGAGCACTAGACCCCAGAACAGACTGTGCAGCATGTAGTCAGTTGAGGAGGGGGTGTTAGGGGTTGGTGAAATGCTGGGCAGGAGCAGCAGAAGTGACTGTCCCTCTCATGTCAGGCCTCCAGCGTTGCTGGTTGAGTTGCACGACGGTGCCAGTGCCGCGGTGCTTCACCGGCTCGGTGAGAGCCTGGGTGCCTGCTGCTTGCAGTGACCTTAGGCAAGTGATCGAAATTCGTCTCTCAGGTGGCACTAGCACGGGCGTCTTGGCAGAAGGGCTGAAGGGGGTGGGAAAACGTGCGGCCTCATGAGCTGTATGTTGGGCTGGAGTCCTCTGTGCCAGGGGACGGAGAGCTTGCACCGCAACAGCTTGTGCTGTGCTGGTCTCCGCTGCACCCCACACTTATCTGAGACAGCATCTTTTCTGAGTAAAAAGGCTATTTCAGTTGTGTAAAGGTGCAATATAAGGGTTTATTTGAAAAAACAAGCGCTAAAAACATTCCTGCACTAGCAACTCTGGACTGGCTGTGATCAACAGACCCAGTCTCCGTGAGCAATATGGTGCTGAATCTTAAAACAGCTACTCCGAGTGCCCGACTGATACACTGCCTGTCATATAAAAATGCCTTCCCATTTTATTCACTTTCATTGTGGATGGGGGGGGAAGGTTCAGCTCTCGTTACAAATGAGTCACTTGGAAAATGGAAGATTTCCCCTCCAGTAAAAAAAGCTTTCAAGCATGAGTGGGAACACAAATAGCAATTATATTACTGAAGAGATACTTACAATATTGTGTAAGCCCTATTAAGCTCAGTGGCAATGATTTACAGTAAGAAAAGAATACAGAATAACAAATGAACGAAGGTGTGAGTGCTTTGATTTCATAAGCTTTCTGTTACTTAAAAGATGCCCTGCTGATTTGTCAGTACCTGCTTTACAACCCAGTTTATTGTATGTTGAGAATTTTATGGGAGCACCCTATTTTTCCTTACAGTGCAAGTTTTTTTAATCTCCCTTTCAGGCAGATGTTGTTCTTGCCATCAGTGATAAAATCCAAGGTCACTCTTCTGACTTCACTTCTTCCAGGGTTCATAGCGGAGAGAGAGGGGGAGAGAGTTGGCCTTGTGTCTGGTAGTGCAGTAGAAAATTGAAAAAAAAACCCATCAGTTTCTCATCCAGGAGGTATGATATCCCCCAGCTCAGCACTGTCATCCAAAAAGCAAACACGTGTCCACGTGTTGTTTCTAACAGAAGATTTTTCTGGCTGCGCAGTGCGTGTCTTGCTGTTGTTGCTAAAGGAGCAAAACCAAGGCCAAAATGGGGTTAGGCGCAGAAGCAGCTTGCAGGGGCTCTGCAGGTGGTGAAGGGGAGTTCTGACGTTCGGGTGGCATCAAGGCACACGCTGAAGGGCTGAAAGGCACCAGTGCTGCCCACGTGTGTGCGTGTATGTGTACATGTGTGTGGGTGTGGGTGTGCACCCGGTGCGGCACGGCCAGCACGGAGGCGAGGAAGGGCTCTCACGTCCTGCCGGATGCCTGGGGCTGCTTGGGAATTTTGCAGAGGGAAAACCGTTTTCCCCGTGCGCGTCCGCCTCTGGCTGTGCCCCAACTGTCCGCAGTGCCCTGCCAGGCTGTCCTGGGGCTGCAGCAGCCAGAGGGTACCATCCCCGGGGTCCCCTGGCATAACCGTGCACACCGGGGTCCCGCGGCCGCTCTCCGGGCAGCCCAGTGCCGAAACCGAGGAGATGAGGGAGGCAGAGAGACGCGGGGCAGAGAGGGACCCGCGTTTCCTGTGTGCCCTGTCAGTCAGATGCGGTGCACGGAGGGCGGCCACAGCAGTTGTGCAGCAAAGCCTGCGTGGGTAATTTGACTTCGCTTTCCCGGCAAGCATCTCCTAGTCTCTCGTTTTGACAGACAGGCGGTCGGTGGGGCGTGGCGACTATTTATCTGGCTGAAGGTGGAGGAAGCTGCAGGCCCTGGCACGGGGCCAGGCCCCCACCTGCCCTGACCCCAGGGATCCCCCATGCTGCATGAGACCCCCAGCTTTCTTGTCGTGTGTGCTTATGTGGGCAAAAGTGCCACAGCATGGGAAGGACACGAGGCTTGCAGATATCTACATGCTCTGCAGCTAACAGAAAAATCAGTGTAGATCTACATGTGCTACACTTATTTTTTAAAACTGATATAATGATAAGTACATAAAGCCAAAGACTCAGTAAGAGTCTGTTGGAACAAAATCAGATATAAAGAGAAAAAGGAGCTCAGACTTTAGACTAGTCTACAGAAAATAGATAATAATAGCCGTTTACCATTTGCATAGCTTCATATTAAAACAGATTTTCCTTACTCCCTCTGGCATTAAGGCAGTGACAGAATTTTTTTTCTGTTTTTAATCAATCCTGTAACAACACCATGCTGCTTTCTTCATAAAGTATGCAGATAATTGGAACTAACCTGTTGCTCAGTAACAAAGATACCAGAGAACAAAAAAAATGCATTTTACAGAAAGTTATTTTCCACGTGCTAAAAGCCAAGGCTTCCTCTCCAAGTAATGGATTCAGAAGATTTGCCTTTCTAGGTTTTCTCGTAATTTCTCAGTATCTCTAGAAAAAGAACAGAGAGGACATTTCTCCAGGTCCCTCTCAGAAGTTACTTTGATCTAGTATCTCCTTTTCCCATCAAAACCTCTTACAGGGGCATTTGGTTGCCTTTCTTTCCTTACTGGGATCTTGTCTGGCCTGCTGCTGCTGCCTAAGTTACACAATATAGGTGTGTTGCACATAAATCCGGAATAAAGTGGCATTAACTGTGGCAGGTCCTTAAGGGAGCAGAAGGGATGGTATTCCTGAGTGTAGCTGATGGGGTACATAATAACAGATGTCTTAATATTTCATGATCCAATCCCCCAAAATGCCCATTGAGAGTAAATGAACAAACCAATAAAAACAAAATCTGTCTCATTAAAAATTATGCCTGTTATGCATATGTGTGGGAGAGACAGGCAGAGGCAAGTAACAGGAAAACAACTAGCCCCTCAGAAAGCACCAACAATATTTTAAGAAAGCTATAAATCTGATCAATACTGCATAGAAACAGAAAAGTCAATCCATCCAAGTTGGAAATGGCATACTGGAGAACTGCCTTATTCCCCTGTGGAGCCAGAAGGACTTCCCTGCAAACAATAGAGGGGGATCCACATGTGCAAAATGCTCTTGGAGCAGCCCACGGTGAAATCCAGCATCGGGTCCACGTGGTGCTCCAAGGAGGTCCGTGGTGGGGAAGTCAGTGGGAAGACTGAGCTCTCATCTTTGCAGATCCCCAGTCCATCGCCTGCAGAGGAAGGATCGGCGCAAGCCCTTAAGAAGATAAGGGCAGCATCCGACCCTAGCTGTGACTTCCAGCAAGGCCACCCACCACCTACACGTTATAGGAAAAGTACACCTCACCCTCCCTACAGCCCCAGATCGGGAAATCCCTCTTCCAGAAAAACCCTGGCAACAAGTGCCCTGTTCTTATAAAACTAAGCTGCTGGCTAAATCCATCCCTGGCTCAGAAACTTCCTAGTTGTATGAGAGGGTTTACAAGCAGCGGTTAGGCAAAGACTAATACTCCGCACCAGATGTGCTGGGAAAGGTCCTGCAGCAGTGGAAGTCAAAGCACTTCTACTGAAGGCAAGGGGGGACCTGTGGATTCAACCTCAATAAATTTACCTTACTGCTGAGAGCCTCCCATGTAACAGAGAAATAATACCCAAAGCAAAAGTACAGAATTAACCAGATTCTGTCAATTAGCTATGTTTAAGGGGATGTGTTATCAAACAAAGTGTTTTTTATCATTTTTATATGTATGCACATGGCCTGATTTTTGTCTTCCCTTAATCTAAGAAAATGGCATTTGATTCCCCAAGCAGACCTGTCAAGATGAGCTCAAGAATCAGTAGAAAGATTTTGCAGACTTAATATCCATCAGAAGCAAAGTGAGATCATTTGTGGGACAAGGCACTATTCCGCATTAAAAGTAACACCCCCACCCCCCTCAGAACCACCCACTGCTCACTTTAGGGAACAGGATGGGAGGTGGTGTTGGGCCCTCAACAAATTGAAATGCGTACAAATCTGCAGTCATTTGGGTTACAAAACAAGCAATAAGAAGGCTCACTAATAAACATGTTTTCTGAGTTTTCTATATGCCTTCTTGCAAAGCCTGTGAAATTATTATAGTCCGGATTTTGCATTATCCTGGCAAGGAAAGTGAAGTTGTTGATTATTATTATTATTATTAATTATTATTAATTGTTATTATTGTTTTTTAAGATGCACAGAGTGTTTAAGCATCTCTGTCCAGGCCCTGCAGTAAGTCTGTAAAGAACTGTAATCATACCTCAGGAGATTATATCTCCCTATAGAGTACTCTGCCACAGCATTGCTAATTAAAAAAAAAACAAAAAAAACCTGGAACTAGGAAAGCCTGTATCTTTATAAAAAACAATTGAAGAGTCTCCTTCATGATGAGCACCTGCTTGTTCAGCTAATGCAGAGGCTTTGCCCAAGACAATGGACCTGCTCTGGATTGGCAGCAGGGAACCAAGAAGAACCACATGTACCTGTGGACAGGTGTGGTCAGCCCCTCTGCTCCAGGCAGCAAGTTGCAGAGGCTATTTCCTTGGCCCTTTTTACCAGCACTACATTCATTATAAGAAAGGAATCTGATTTTTTTTACCAGTATTTAAAAAGAGAGTGAGCTCCATGCCACTTCCCATGACAAGCAATACTCTGCAGCATTGAACTTGGATAACAGAACAAAAACTGAAAGTCTAATTTGCTCCCAGTGCTGCACAGAAGTGATGCAGTGTGATGGACACAGAGGAACAAACTTGTAGGAATCACCCAGCAGAAAGCTGCTATTATTAGGTTCTGTCAGTGA